GTTTGTTCAGTTGGATAGAAGTTATAAATTTAGGGTGATCTATTTAAGCACTCCTTTATTTATAAGCTAGACCATGGGACATAAATACACCATGCACTTGTTATTCTAAGCCATTCCTTGCACAGAGATGTGCCAGATTGCTGAGACTGTAGACCTAAAGACAATGACGTGGCCTTTTGCCCTTCAGTACAGATTCTTTTGAGGGCAAGAGAGCAAATAATATAGATGCTGACATGCAATACAGTTTGAAGAAATGAAACCTAAGTAGTAAACTGGAAAACAGGATGTGTTACATGACTAACATTTTTGTGTAAATGGAAGTGCATAGGCAATCACAGTGGGCATAGTATGCCAGATAATTGAGAAGCAAATTAGCAAGAGTGTACTGTGGTTTTTTCTTTAACTAAATTTATTGGGATTCTTGGTAACTTCCAGAACTTTCAAGAGATCTTTATAATCTTATGGAATTTGGTTAATGTTGCCTTGTAAAGTGGCTTTACTCTAAATAATAGTGGTTTTCAATAATAGAGTATTCCAATGGCATTCATCATATATAGGGATTAATTAATTCACAGTTGCCATGTAAAGTAACAAACACACCCAAACAACCTTAAAATGAAGCAATATTTAAAACGTTTTCAATAATTTTTAACAATTTTCCTCAAGTAAAATACATAATGGAAGTTCAAATGCTTATATTCTGAAATACAAATTCAAACATAGTGATCGGACCATAGCAAATCATAAAAATAATGCGCGACTTCAAACTAATTCAAAAATAATAATATAAAGTAAAATCAATACCAAACTTAAACAGATAACCACAATGAATACAAAAATAAATAAAATAAAAATTTAAACAGTCCACACCATAACCATCATAGGGCTTCAAGTCACTTGCATAGTAGGTATTCAAAAAGAAGACTTCTATGCTGCCAAAAGTGAGTTAATGTCCCTGAAATTGACAGAATGACCCCAACATAAAGCTTTATAAATATGAAAAGCCTCCACATGTCATATATGTTGGCGGCTTTCCCTTTTTTGGATAATTTTAGATTGGTCCCATTCGACACTAGTAGCTCCCTGATTGGCGATAGCATATGCCACTAAGGCAGTGGACAGGTTAGATTTCCTTTGCCGTTAAGGCAGTGGATGGGTTAACTTCCTTATGACATTCTATTATGTATTCTACTTGAGGAAGGTTATTAAAAACAATCAAAAATGTTTTAGTTATTAAATTATTGCTGCATTTTAAGGTTGTTTGGGTGTGTTTATATAAGGATTCTTGGTGACTTGCATAATCTCCAAGAGATCTTTGCCAATCTTATGGAATTTGGTGGAAAATACTGGATGCATTACCTTGTAAAGTGGCTTTAATCTGAATTCTAGTTTTTTAATAATAGAGTATTCCTCTGGTTTTCAACATATTCTATTTGGACCTATAAGCCAATATGTAAAATTCCAAAAGTTACATAAAATAGTAACTTTTGGGTGAGCAGTAGAAGATTGGCCTAATTTTCAAATCCCATTTTCTGAAAAACAATGGTTTTGTAATCAAACATTAATATTGTGGGTATAGAGCTATATCACAATATTAATGTTTGATTTTTAATTCAACAAATTATATGGTGTGTGGCAGAAAAACCTATTTTAAAACTATATAACTAGTGAAATTTACTACTAAATATACAGTAATACCTCGACTTACTCCATCCCGACTTATGCAAACCCGGAGTTACATGATTTTCAAATCTTGTCGATTCATCTTTTGTCTGAGCGCCACACAACTCTTGATTACTCCCCCCCACACTATTGTTCAGCTTACATGTTCGGATGTGTCGTGCAGAATCGACACATAGCTACAATTTATTTTGTGTTATTTATTTCTGTGTTTGTTATATCTACAGAGACTTGATAGACTCTATGTGGTGATTTCTTGTAACCGTGAATGAATCAAAAGACGAAATAAGATTAACGAGAACATTTATTAGCTNGTTTATAGGGAACTTTTACTATTTTTTACGGATACCGGTAGCAATTTTTTCGTAGTTTTATAGGAATCGTAACTATAGGGACCATAATTATAGGGAGGTCGACTGTATTATGGGTATAGAGCTATATCACAATATTAATGTTTGATTTTTAATTCAACAAATTATATGGTGTGTGGCAGAAAAACCTATTTTAAACCTATATAACTAGTGAAATTTAATACTAAATATACAGTAGTACCTCGACTTACGCCATCCCGACTTATGCGAACCCAGAGTTACGTGATTTTCAAATCTCGTTGATTCATCTTTTGTTTGAGCGCCATGCAACTCTTGATTACTCCCCCCCACACTATTGTTCAGCTTACATGTTTGGATGTGTCGTGCGGAATCGACACATAGCTACAATTTATTTCTCTGTTAGTTATATCTACAGAGACTTGATAGACTCTATGTGGCGATTTCTTGTAACCGTGAATGAATCAAAAGACGAAATAAGATTAATGAGAAAATTTATTAGCTTACATACATCTGACTTGGATTTTACACAAATTGAGAAATTATACCCCGACTTACGCGAATTAGACTTACAAGGTTATCGCTCGGTCCCACCTATCGCGTAAGTTTGGAGTATTACTGTAATTCATTAATACTAAACTGATTATCATTAAATGTCATTTTATTACACATAGATTACTAATTCTTTATCTTCTTAATCTTTTTAGTTATTAATTATGCAGTAGTACACAGCTCATACAGGGTGCACTTCCTTGTCGAGCAGCTAGATAAGCAAGCCAGTGACATAGTTCATTTCATATGAAACGATCTGTGTCATTGGTTTGCTTACTTAGCTGTTTGATAAAGAGACACATCCATGGTGTCAGATTTTGAACAGTTACATACGGACAAAATATTAATTCATACTAAAGATTAGACTTAATGTTACGAGACCAACTAATATAAGTTCTTGTTCGTGTTAATGTAGGATGCATTTATTATATTTACACAGATTGATTAGAGTGGTAATTACATCATGTCAGTTTGTAAGTAGCTCATGTTTAGTTGATAAAAATGTAGCTTGCCATCTGTATAAAGATTAACCACGTGAGTAAAAACATCTGTTTCGGTTTAGTACCATATATTCACTGATATCAAATCCTTAATTATATTAAGTGAAAAACTTTTTGTTATTTAGGGCAATGGTATATCGTCGTTGCTTTTGGTTAGTTTAAATTATCATTCATTAGAAATATTTTCATTCATTAGCATTTCATTAATCTATAAATTACCAGATCACTTGTCTGTCGATTGCCAGAACCCTAAAAAATATGAATTTGATTCAAATGTTAAGTAGATAAGACTTGAAAGTACAGCATTATAAATTTTTCAGAGAAAGTGGATACAAGAATATTCATTTTATCTTGCTACAGAAAGCTGTTTAGAATATTAAAGTTTAGAATTAGCTTAATTATAATAATTTACTAGGCACAGTTTGTTTTCTGGTTTGAACGTGAACTAAGAATTGAATCCAAAGTGTTAGCAAGTCAATAATAATGTTTTGGGGCCTCCAATATTAGTTGTGACTTGCTGTTAAAGACAGTGTTATTGAATTGCTAGTTAGAATTACAGGGATTTTTATTACATTTTTAATTTCCTCATCTTATATTGTGTAAAACGTCAAAGTTTAATCAATCAACCAATCAAATTTTGAGATAAAACTCAATTCTATAAACCACATAGAAGTGGTTTTTACTAATGTTACATCTCATGTTTGTAAAGTAGGTGTTTTTGTTAGTGAGATGAAGTATTTGAATGCCAAAGCTGTGCTTGTTGCAAAACTGCAAAACCTATATATAATTTATTTAACACTATAAAATTTAGTATAACATATACCAGTCATTATATACTAAAGTTTAATTCTTATATATTATTCAGGAGAGATTTTTATTCTATTCTTGGGGTACCTCGCACTGCAACTTTAAATCAAATAAAGAAAGCTTACAGACAGCTTGCTAAAGAATTACATCCAGATAAAAATAAGGATGATCCTAAAGCGCAGGATAAATTTTCAGATTTAGGAGCTGCTTATGAGGTACGATAGTTTTTACTGAAAATATATTTGAATAAATTTGGAATAATATGTCTATATTTCAATTTAAAAATGATTTTACTTCATTTACAGGTATTATCAGATCCTGATAAAAGAAAGTGCATAGGCAATCACAGTGGGCATAGTATGCCAGATAATTGAGAAGCAAATTAGCAAGAGTGTACTGTGGTTTTTTCTTTAACTAAATTTATTGGGATTCATGGTAACTTCCAGAACTTTCAAGAGATCTTTATAATCTTATGGAATTTGGTTAATGTTGCCTTGTAAAGTGGCTTTACTCTAAATAATAGTGGTTTTCAATAATAGAGTATTCCAATGGCATTCATCATATATAGGGATTAATTAATTCACAGTTGCCATGTAAAGTAACAAACACACCCAAACAACCTTAAAATGAAGCAATATTTAAAACGTTTTCAATAATTTTTAACAATTTTCCTCAAGTAAAATACATAATGGAAGTTCACATGCTTANGTTTGTAGACTTGTGGAGATTTGAAGTAAATTTTTGTAATGACACTTCTTGCAAATTAGCCATCGTTCTCCATTTCTCATTTATGGTTGTCAATCCCAATACAGATCAGGTTCGCCTAGCTGCATAACTTTAATATGCTGACGTCACGCACACAGTTTTGATTATTTAAGTATGTAAAATTCTGATTAAGATTAGCCAAAATATTTTGCTAGTTATCTTAAAAAAAGGCAGCAAGATGTTTAATTTCAAAATTGATTTTATTCTTTCAAAGATTATAAAAAAAAAAAAAAAAAAAACTGCATGCTAGACTTAAAGATCTCAAGTGCTAGGTGCAGCTCCTTAATATAGATCGGTTCATTCTCTGCTTTGACAGAATAAATAAAAACTTAAGTGACTTTGTAAAGTACACAAACATAAATGACAATTCTTTTGATTTAAATAACTGATCATTTTATTTAATATTTTAAGCCATGGTTGCCAGTTTTGTAATGGCATAAATGCAGTTATGCTAATATCAAAACAATGTTTGATGTTTTTGTAACCGAACGAACACAAGATTATGGTTTTGGAGACCACGGAGTGGATTGTCAATTTTATTTGACTTGTATCAAACTGAAGTGAAATAAATTTACAAATGCATTTTTTCCAAACACATACATTTGTATTTTAAAACAAATATGTAATGAGACAAAAAGAATAAAAATGTTCCTTGTACAAAATCAAACGTTAAAAATGTGGATTCTTTCTTGCATACGTAATCGAGACGGTGAATGTACTTAAATGTGGTGGAATTAATGTGTTGTGGAGGACGACGGACCTTCGGCTGAATCGAGGAATTCAAAGAAATATGAAATTTTGGCCTCCCTTTACATTGTTCTCATTGGTACTAAATATTAATGCTATTAATAACCTCTTAGACCGTTATAAACTTTAGTCTTAGATTCTTCATTTAGTATCTTACGCACGGCTGAAAATGAGCATTGGTCACTTAGCATAATTAATTACAAATTTAATTGTTAAAAAATAAGCAGAGTAATTTGTTATTACCTTCTTTCGCTTCATTATCTAATTCCCCCTTGGGAAAATCTACGTCAAATGTTATGTATAAAGTACCATGAAGATTGTTGTTTTCGTAATTCGGCATTCCTTCTCCCTTCTTCCTTATTCTTGCTCCTGGCCATGTAATTTTATCGCGAGAAATTTGCACCTAAACACAGAAACAAAAATTTTTTTACTTTTGTCAATTTTGAGTAACTAAAAATAAATTACATACTTTGTGCCCGTCTAAATGAACTATTTCCATCTTGAATCCATTGAGTGCATCGGTTAAAGAAATTGTGACATTTGTATAAAGATCATCTTCTTTTCTTTCAAATATGGAATGCCTTAAAAAAATAAATATTTTAAAATACTTCCAACACATTACTAAAAGTACAAAACTGACTTTTTTTTAATAAATTTCATTCTTACGGTAATGTTTTTATCCTAACCCTTAAATCGCCAGGTTCTCCATCAATATGAGGTTCTCCTATTAAAAATAAAATTATATATACATAAAGTTTAATAGATGATGAATTTAATTTTAGTAGAGTCTCAACAATTTGAAGTTCCACATAGTCTTAGACACTACCACTTTTGAGTCGACGTACTGTACGCATGCTTGACTGAAACGTGTAAAAATTTATATATTTGGGTAATTCAAATTAAGCATGTGATGAGATGGCACAATGAAATTGTAAGCACGTCTAAAAGTCTGATGTTGGCTTTCAATTTCTTGCATTTATGAAATGTTATGGTTGATGCTTGGGGTGTCATCATGTATTTTAAGCACAATACATCATCATTACTAAAGTGATTTTTAATATAATATAACAGATGTAATGTTATTACTGTTTTTCACTGTATACATGTTCTGTAAACTTGGAGTTTTTGTTGCTTGAGATTAGATTATCTCATTCCTGATCAAACTGTTGAGAATCTACTGCAATTAGTTTATATATATATAAAAAATATAAAAATTATTTAAAATTATCTTTACTAGAATGTAATATATATATATATATTACATTCTAGTAAAGATAATTTTAAATAATTTTTATATTTTTTATATATATATAAACTAATTGCAGTAGATTCTCAACAGTTTGATCAGGAATGACATAATCTAATCTCAAGCAACAAAAACTCCAAGTTTACAGAACATGTATACAGTGAAAAACAGTAATAACATTACATCTGTTATATTATATTAAAAATCACTTTAGTAATGATGATGTATTGTGCTTAAAATACATGATGACACCCCAAGCATCAACCATAACATTTCATAAATGCAAGAAATTGAAAGCCAACATCAGACTTTTAGACGTGCTTACAATTTCATTGTGCCATCTCATCACATGCTTAATTTGAATTACCCAAATATATAAATTTTTACACGTTTCAGTCAAGCATGCGTACAGTACGTCGACTCAAAAGTGGTAGTGTCTAAGACTATGTGGAACTTCAAATTGTTGAGACTCTACTAAAATTAAATTCATCATCTATTAAACTTTATGTATATATAATTTTATTTTTAATAGGAGAATTTCTTTGGCGATTTTGCCTTCTTTGGTGGTTCACAACGTTCAGATTCCCAAGAGATTCCAAGAGGAGCTGATCTGGTTATGAATCTCTGGGTAACACTAGAAGAATTATACTCTGGAAATTTTGTTGAGGTAAAGTAAATACTAAAGAAAGTTTTTAGATAGAATTTTCTGTATTTTAATTGCTCTATATGATTATAAAAATTAAGCTTGTTAAGGTTATCTTTTAAAAGTGAATTCAAATTTAGGTTATTAGGAATAAACCAGTAATGAAATCTGCTAGCGGAACCCGAAAATGCAATTGCAGACAAGAGATGGTTACAAGACAGTTAGGACCGGGAAGGTTTCAAATGATGCAACAAACTGTGTGTGATGAGTGTCCTAATGTAAAGTAAGTTTACTTTTTTTTACATTAACTTTTTAAATAAATTCAGAAATTTTATTATTTTAATATTAATTTAATACCATTAAACTATTAATTGTAATTGTCAAAAATAAGTATCAAAGTCAAAATAAATATTTTTTTTATACATGCATAAGGCATATGTGTTAGTCTTATTTAAAAATTATCACACTCCCTTATGCAAATCACTCCTGCTCACATTAGTTTGGATATGGAAGAGTTACTGTATTTCCTATATCATGTAATGAAAAGTTTTGCAAGAATGGTACATTTAATACAGTAAAATCCACTTACATATCGAAAGT